TCAAGGATGACATGGCTTTACCTTATGAAAGAAAAGAGTGAATTGTTTTCTATCTTCCAGAAATTTTATGCTGAAATTCGCAATCAATTTGGTGTACATATTAAAATTCTTCGTTCTGATAATGGCCGCGAGTATTTTTCCACACACTTTCAAGAATATTTGGAACAACATGGCATTATCCATCAAACCTCATATACCTACACCCCTTAACAAAATGGGGTGGCTGAAAGAAAAAACCGTCACCTTTTGGAAACTACTCGGTCCCTCTTACATCAGATGAATGTCCCCAAACCCTTTTGGAGTGATGTTGTACTCGCATCTTGCTTTCTTATTAACCGCATGCCCATGTCTATCCTTGAAGTTCAATCCCCTTTCTCTGTTCTGTTTCCCACGTCTCCTTTTCCCCTTACTCCCAGAGTTTTTGGATGCGTGTGTTTCGTTCATAATCTTGGGCCTGGAATGGACAAGTTAGACGCTAGATCCACTAAGTGTGTCTTTCTTGGCTATTCCAAGACTCAAAAAAGGTATAAGTGTTATAACCCTCGTTCTCAGCGTTTTTTTGTGTGTTCCGATGTTACATTTTTTGAGTTTGTTCCTTTCTTCTCCAGGTCGGATACTTCTTCTCCTCTGTTGCCATCACCCCCTCTTCCAGTTCTTGTTGAGGATCCCGTTCCTCTTGTTCCGGTCATGACCCAATCTTCGCCTCCAGTGCGGCTACCTGAGAGAGGACCACCTATCCAGCAAGTGTATACACATCGTCAGGCACCGGCTCCTCCCTTAGCTTCGTCATCGTCGACAGATCCGGCAGTTGATCCCACCCCAGCCCCAACTCCAAGTTCTGACCTTGATCTTCCTATTGCTTTGCGGAAAGGTAAACGCAATTGCACTCTCCATCCCATTTCCAATTATGTTTTTGTATCTCACCTTTCGACTTCCCATCTACAGTTTGTTTCTATGTTATCCTCTGTCTCTATTCCCAATGATGTCCAGGAAGCCCTCAATTCTCCAGGGTGGCGCCAAGCAATGGAAGAAGAACTCTCAGCCCTAACTCGTACTCATACGTGGGACCTCACTACTCTTCCTCCTGGTAAGCATGTGGTCGGTTGTAAGTGGGTGTACACGGTTAAATACCTACCTAATGGAAGTGTTGAACGGTTGAAACTCGATTAGTTGCCAAAGGTTATTCACAGTAGTATGGTATTGATTACACGGACACCTTCTCTCCGGTTGCCAAAATTGGGTCATTTCGTGTTCTGATTTCTCTTGCTGCTATGTTTGATTGGCCCTTGTTTCAGCTTGACATCAAGAATGCCTTTTTACATGGTGATCTTCTTGAAGAGGTGTACATGGAGCAACCACAAGGGTTTATTGCTTAGGGGGAGGGTGAGAAGGTCTGTAGACTTAAGAAGGCTATTTATGGACTTAAACAATCTCACCGTGCATGGTTGGGAGATTTAGTGAAGTGGTGAAGAAGTTTAGAATGAAACAGTGTTAGGTTGACCATTCCATATTCAGCTACGAATCAAATGCTAGGAAGATTCTCTTGGTGATATATGTAGATGACATTGTTATCACAAGCAGTGACAGACTAGGAATTGACATGTTGAAGACTTACTTGCATGATCACTTCCAAACAAAGGATCTTGGCAAATTAAAATACTTCCTAGGGATAGAGGTTGCAAGTCCAAGAATGGTATTAATATGTGCCAGAGGAAATATGTTCTTGATTTGCTAGAGGAAACAGGGTTGTTGGGTGCCGGACCAGCTGAAACACCTATGGAACTGAATGCTAGATTGGTTAGTGATACAGGTGAGGAGTTTGAGGATCCGGGAAGGTACAGAAGGCTGGTGGGTAAGCTTAATTACCTAACCATCACTCGACCTGATATCTCATTTGCGGTCAGTGTAGTGAGTCAATTTATGCAGAATCCGAGAATCCCACACTAGGAGGCAGTACTAAGGATTGTGAGGTATTTGAAGGGTGCTCCAGGTCGTGGTTTGTTGTATAAGAGTGGAGGAAGTCTTGAGATAGAGGGATACACGGATGCTGATTGGGCTGGGTCATATCTGATAGAAGGTCCACTACAGGGTATTGCACTTTTCTTGGTGGGAACTTAGTGACGTGGAAGAGTAAGAAGCAGACAGTGGTAGCAAGAAGCAGTGCAGAGGCTGAATATAAGGCTATGGCTCACACAACATGCAAACTGGTGTGGTTGAAGCATCTACTAGAGAAGATGGGATACTCGATTGACACTCCTATGAAGCTATAATGTGATAACCAAGCTGCAGTTCATATCTCCTCTAATCCATTGTTTCACGAAAGGACGAAACACATAGAAGTGGATTGCCACTTTGTACGTGAGAAGGTGCTTAATGAGTGATAAGTACAGCATATGTGAACACAGGAAATCAATGGGCAGATCGGTTTACCAAAGGGTTGAATCGGGGAAGAGTGGACTACATATGTAACAAGCTGGGACTATATGACATATACTACCAGCTTGAGGGGGAGTGTTAGAGTCAGCTGTACAAGGGTAGTACAATCCTTTTATGTTTAGTTATATATGTACTGCTCAACTGATGTGGCTCTCACTTAAGTGAGGGCACAATGGTAATCCTTGTATATCTTAGAAGAGTATAAATAAAAGAAGGGCCGACTAGAGGTTTTCAGATTTTCTCTCTAGCTCGGCTATGACTTTTCTCCTTTTTCTTCTCTTTCTCCTTCTCCTTCTCTCTCTCTTTTCCTTCTCTTTCTTCTGATCTGAACATATACAAACATATAATCTAAGTTTTATCACTTCCCAAAAGAGAACAAAAATCCCTAAACAAACACCATTCCTGACAAAATTAAGAAATTGGGGAAGGATGCTATGAATCACTTTTCAAGGAGTTGTCAAAGTAGTTTGTCGAGAAACACTAGCATCCCAGCCATTATTTGAGGAACCTTGAAACACTTATCTAACAAAGTTGTATTCTTCATGACCAAATTTCCTAACAAAGTTGTATTCTTCATGACCAAATTTCCTATCCCCAATCCACCTTCTTCCTTACTTCTACACACTATGTCCCACCTTATTAAGTGATTCTTCTTCTCTTCCCCTGGCTCGCATAGGAAACTCTTCATTAGCTTCTCCAATTTCTTTGCCTCCCTAAAGGGGATTCTAAACACAGAGAGATAATAAACCGGCAAGTTAGCTAGAGTGGCTCTTAAGAACATTATTCTACCTCCTAGAGAGATATAGTTCTTTTTCCAAGTAGCTAATCTTTTTTCAAACCTCTCTAGGATTGGAGTCCAAAAACTGTTTTCCTTCAGGTTAGCACCTAAAGGGAGCCCAAGATAAGACAAAGGCCAAGAAGCCACTTGACAATTTAAGCACTCAGCAACGGACTCAATGACCCCCTCATCCAAATTTATTCCCACTACACAGCTCTTATCCAGGTCTATTTTTAGGTTAGAGACACTTTCGAAGTAACTTATCAAGCTCTTTAGATTCCTCACTCTCCGTAGGTCATCCCCTTCATTGAAAATGATGATGTCATCCGCATTGGCATGGGCCTCGTATTGAAGCATTGGTTATTGAGGGATAGAAACAAGGAAGCAATTCCAGCATGGTCAAGTTCAATTGGCACATATGTTCTCTAATTATTAGACTATTAGTTTCTATGAACTACCAAAGGATACATATCAAGGAAGATATGATGGATGGTGGATAGAACAAGGGTTTCTTGGATAATGGAAACTACATTACAATATTAGAGAAGGTAAAAACATGTTGTTCTTAGTGAGTTCTTAGTGAGTCCCTTGGTCCATTTTGTTCCTAGATATGGCTAATCACTGAACCAGACTGGGTACTCTGCTTAGCATATGCTCAAGTAAAACCCAAGTTCAGCCGAGGTCAACAAAGTACAATGAGCCTCAGGCTGGACTCAAGCTGAGGCCTACCCAAACATCAAAAAATTATGCATATATACATATGTACATAGATTATGATGTATGAATTGTCATCATCATCATTATCTAAGCCTAATTCCAACTATATGGAGTCGGCAACATGAATCCTGTTTACATATATTATGAATATTACATGCATGATTAACATATAATATAGGCATGATATATATAGGTAATGATATTTAAATCTTATGTATAAGTATATTTATGCATATAACATAAGAGAGGAGTCAATTGATGTCTACAATGATCGTCTCAAATATATAATAGTGGTATGTGTTGTTAGAAGTGTAGCTGAAGGGTGGGTTTTAGTTTTGGATTGGAGGAACGTTTAGGGTGTTATAGGTCTTTAAAGGGTAATTTGTGCTTCATGTCTGAGAACCAATATTTTATTTTGGTAAAATTTCAGTGGAGGTAGGGGAAGAGGAGATAGGAGTTCTGCCTAGTACTTTGTATAGTTTTTTCGGATCTTATTGAATGGAGGTGTATTGATAGGTTTGTGAGGTGGAGTGCTGTTAAATTGCTTTTGTCTTGGTGATGCCTTATCACCTGAGGTTTTATCTTGCTTCTATTTTTTTCTTTTCTGAAGGTTTTATTTACTATAAAAGAAGGCTGTATATAGGCAGAACTGGGCCATCAGGCTGGGCAAAAGTCAGCTAGATTCAACCTAAACTCAACTTTGGTGCCAAATTTAGGCCAAGACCCATCTCTAGTTTCTATTGAGTTGGCCAGTTAGGTTCAAATTCAAAAACTAAGGCCAACAATGTATCAAGAATGAATTCAACAGTTTACTTGAGAAAAATGCTATCAAGCTTCTTAAATTATAACAATACAACAAAAAAGATCAATCCAGCAAAGAAGATGTACCTTTGTGTACCTTCTAAACCCAATTCTTTTATCTTCTCAGAAAGTGGCATGACAGGCTCAGTTACAATGTAGATAGTAACCTTTGTAATAGAACCGTCAAAAGTCTCGGTCTCAGTGCTATGAAGAAATGATAAGATGTTTGGATGCCTAACCTGTGACATATCACAAAGAGCTTCTTAAGTAGAATAAGACAGAAGAAGACCAATTTAAGAAAACAATAAACATGAAGAGGTGATTGTAAAGCATACATTGAGAGAATCTGCTAAAAATTGCTACTACTAAAGACGATGTAAAGTCTAGGAAGTACCATCGCCTAGGTAACCAAACTAGGAACCAGCATGCTGGTTTAGCATTCACATGGAGCTGATTTTTGTAGATGCAACAATTCTGTAGAAGGTGCATAGGCTCATATTGATCATCTTGCAAAGAACATAGGGAAATTTCTCTTTCCGTTTTTTTTTCCTTTCTTATTGGGAGGGTTCAAATGTATCATGCATGCTAAAGAGCTTAAAACATCTGCTATTGAAATAAGAGAGTGATTACAAGGCAATGTTTATTCAACAGTGGACAGGCCATTCACTCATGAATATCATGATTCCTTTGTATACTAAATAAAAATTGTATTAAAAATGCAAAAAAAATGCTGCCCTTTTGTTTTTAATGAATTACTTTGCCTTACAATTTTCAAAAATATGCAAAAAAAACATCTATATAGGACACATTGGGGTGATCATTTCAGCCCGTCCCGGCCTGGCCCGGCCCGGAAATTCCGGGCTTAGGCCTGGGTTTTGTGTTCAGGCCCGCAAATTTTAGGGCCGGGCTTGGGCTTAATACTTCAAGCCCGGCCCGGCCCGGCCCGCATATATTTAAGCTTACACATTTTGTATATAATGTATACATATGTATACATGTTATTTTACATTATATTATATATTTTATATATAAATATTATAACATGACATGTATAATTTATATTATATGCAATATTTTATATTATATAGTATATAAAATAAAAATTTATATGCATGTTATGTCATTTAATATAAAATATTATAGATATATAATGTTTTATATATGAAAGACATTGGCCTGGAATCAGGCCCGGAACCCCGGGCCAGGCCGAGCCCGGGCCTAAGCTTTAGCCCTTATCATAAGTGCAAAGCCCGGCCTGGCCCATGATCACCCCTGTGGCAACACAAGCACAAAAGAACCCAGCAGGGAGACAACAAAAAATAAGCAATTCAATATCAGTCCACCTGCTTTTGACATACAGTAAGCATAACTAAACCCCCAAGCAGCTGAGAATCCCTCTAAGAAAACCATCTAAGCTCTAAAATAACAATTGGGATAATATACTCCTCAAACTAACATGCAAAGTTCATCATTCGAACTCAAACCACCTTCCCTCCCCTACCACTTACGCCCCTATCCCTACTACTCAAAGATCCTTTTACACCTCTACCAACCTTAGAATTAGACTTCAAGTTTCCTTCTCACTCTTTTTACACCCCATACCCATTATATCCCTGGGTTGTGCCAAGTCATAACTCACAACTATGAGTATCATACATATCCTCATTAATCTCATCCACCACTACTCTAACAAGCTGTCATCACTCATCAGTCAGCATGTTCTAGGATAAGGCCAAACAATGGGCCTCTCTCTCTCTTTCTTCCAATAGTATAAAACTAGCCTCAAAAATTAGTCTCCTCCCAGATGCCCAATTTTTCCAACTTGGAATTCATGGTGAGCAATCACAACAATAGGGACAGAACCAATGTTGTAAGACTAGGACTGGACTAAAAACTAGAATGCTCACTGGGTCACGGCATTCAACCCATGAAAACCATCATTTAACCAGGACGCAGAAAGATCACCAGGTCACCAGGCCAGCTGTTCAACCATCTATTGGTCCAAGTCTTACAACACTGGACAGAAGTCACAGAACAGTTCACTCAATGAACATCATCCATCAAAACTCCTGCCTCCCTCCTTCCCCATTCCCTGAGCTCTTCCAGCCTTTTACCTCCTACCACATCTTCCACCTCTAGCTAGCTTCTTCGCCAAACTAGGAAAAGTCCAGTACTTACAACTCAATGCACCCAAAGCATCATCTCTAATCCCCACCTCCAGTCTGGCTATAAGTGCATTCTCAACAACAATCAATGGAAGTAGCTGGTCTTCTAATGTTGTGTTAGCCTCAACCAACATGGTAACTGCACCTCCCTACTCCACAACAATAATACCAGTAGTGACCATTTTTTGATCAACCATAATACCAGTAGTGACCAGTAGTGACCATAATACCTGTAGTGACCATCTCTATCCATAAAACCAAAGAGGACAAAAAAAACCCAGAAAAGATGCTGACGCTATGAGCAGTCAACAACAGTATCTAGCTGATGCAGCAGTGCAAAAATTTACCCTCATCAACTTACCTCTCCACTTATAGAATCTCAGCACATCCACCTTCAAGATGCCCTTCCAAGAATTCCAAGAGCCCTTATTGTCTTCAAACACCTTTTTTCTAATGCCTTTGATGGCTTCCAAACAATCCCAAACAAAAAATACCATGATGCAGTTTCTAACAGCTCCTAGAATGTGTGAGAGTAGGCCATTAGTTCATCATGAAACCAACCAATCAAGGTTGAAGCCAGGGTTGCAACATGGGCCAGGTTAGATTGAACACAACCCAAAAAGTTCTGGTTGATGTTCAGGCTAGGGTTGAAATGTATGAACCCGACTTAACTTCAACTTGGGTTAGAGTTCAGGCCTTCGCCAACCCAAACCCACCTTAACTTCATATTTGTATGTATAAATATTATATTAACATTTATTTATGTATATACACATGTATGCATGTGGCATATATGTATATGTGAAACTACGCATCATCAATAATTTTAAGTATAAAGGAAAATTTTCCCACAAGCATGATAACTATGTCCCTTACATATGATAATGCAAAAACCAATGTTCATAGAACCGGACCGGGCATAAAACGGAGAAGGGAGAGGTTCACGGGTCAGAGGTTCAATCGGGGTCGAACCATGATGACATGGAATATATGTATATATATTATGGGTTATATAAATGCTATATATAATATATTTTACAAGTTTTAATATATTTAAATATGGTGGATGGATGGCAAATTTCTTAATTTTCAAAGCAAATGACCATTGTTCAAGTCTCATAATTTACATTTTCCTTAAAAAATGTGTAATAAAGTAATGCATACAATAAAGAGCCATTAAATAGCACAAGTAAAGATCTGGACTAGTGCTAATTAAGTAACATATGAAAATAATAGGTTATGGGTTCAAGTCTTCTCAAACTCATTTTAACATTTCAAGTATTTAATGGCCCAGGCAGTTTCATGAAGTTGGCACTAGTTCACCAGTTTTCTGGTCAAACCGATCGGTCAACGGTTTTCACCGGATTTTTAGTAAATACAGTTATTGCAGTGTGACCAAACCGGTCAAAGTACCAATCACGATTCAACCAGTCTGACCGGCCTGTCCGGTTTTCTAAACACTGGATAAAACTGAATGTACCTTAATCCTTGAGTCCATAAGATAAGAACATTTGGCAAAAGGAAGTAGAGAACTTGGGCCAAACTGAAATCTTCAGGTTGGGTTAGGGACTTAGGGTTAGGGTTAAGGGTTCCACAGCTCGGGTTGGGTTAGGGTTGACCTCAACACAACCTAACCCAGCCCAACTTGTACCCCCGGTTGAAGTAAAACGAGTCCCTAAGCTCCAGAAGTAAGAAGTAAATAAGAAATGAGAAAGGGATAGAATCAACTTCTATGATGTAAAAATGCTACAGGTAGTATGTCCTTATGGTATAGACTACACGATTGTATTATATATTGACAAGTTGGAAACAATTCTGAAATAGTATCAGAATGTGGTAGGCTAGGGTGTTAGGTAAGGGGACCCACGTTCACCTTTCCTTTCTACCTTATTATCTGATGTTTTCAGTAGAAACATCAGTAAGGCTGATAGGGAAGATTTTATAAGGGGTTGGAGGATAGGTAGAAGTCGGATCCTAGTCACCCTTCTTCAGTTTGCAAATGACTTGATGATCTTCTGTGATGGGGGGGAGGCTAGTGAGAAGGTAGCAAATTCAAAAGAGTTGATTAGAGGCAAATAGGGAGTCTTGTTTTGGGCTCAGCTGTAATGCTTGTTCTTTCTCTCTAGTTCCCTTGTAATCAGCTGAGAGAGGCTGCAACTTGCACCTCTTCAAGGGCTGTTATATGAGTTCAAAATTCTCTCTCTTTTTTTTTTTTTTTTGATGAATCGTGAAGAATTTTATTAGGATGAAAATAAAGTAAACTGACAAGTTGATACAATCCAGAGTTCTCCCAGAAAGCGTGAGTTGCTGCCTTCCAAAACAAAGAAAATCAAAATAAAATTACAATTGAGCCCAGAACAAGTGATCCCTGTTCACCCCTTGCTTAGCTAGTACGTCTGCCAGTCCATTTGCTGACATCCTCTCCCACTGAACTCTCACTGTGAGATTAGAAGTAAGCCACTTAAATCTCCTTATCTCTCCCCTAAAAGACCAAGCTACTGTCTCTGGTTATTTTAGCCACCTAGTTACCACATTAGAGTCACCTTCAATGATCAATCTCCCAAAGTTAACTCTTTAGCAATTTAGGCACCCTGTATAGCAGCTTGCATCTCTGCACTAACAGCATCCCCCACCCCATTTGGGCCGGAGTATAAGGCAACAATCTGTCCCTCTTCATTCCTAAACACACCCCCAATACCAGAAGGTCCAGGATTGCCAAGGCTGCTGCTGTTAAAGTTGAGCTTTATGAAGCTTTCTTCTGGGGGTTTCCAGCCTACTACAGGTTTGTCCTTAGCTAAATACTACAAGTTCAAAGTTCTCTATTATCTATTGAAGTAATAAAATTTTCTTTATTCATAAAAAAATAGTATCAGAATGTGGTAAAAATTAGTATGCACAACAACCTCAAAAAGTTAATCAAACATACAGAGAATTAATGCATGTGATATCTGGAAAATGGCAAGAATGACTACAGAAGATGCAATGAAAATTAACCCTTACAACAATTCAAATACTGCATAAAATATCTACTACTCAGTAAACAAGAACAGCGTAATATCTAAACAAACATTCAACATCAAACCAAGGTAACTGATATTCTATTTATAGGTCAAATTTTCAGTATCTATTATTTAGCAAAAAAGTCAGTATCAACTATATGTTGACTTCAAATATTATACCGTGCGGAGGCGTTTGACACCATTGCGACCAGCAGCTAAGTGCCCATCTTGGGCATTACTTCCTGAGAGAGAGAATATAGAAACCAAAGACCCATCATCCTGAAAAAACATAGCAATAAGCAGAAAATAAACAACTGGTAAATTAAAAAAAAAAAAAAAAGAAAATTAACATAGGTTGTCCAGCTCAGGCTTTTTATTAACTGCACCCTAGCATACCACATATACTATGGAACCCATATTCCTAGCTACTTCAGCATATAGATACAATAATTCTAAAAGCAACAAAGAACAGAGTTAGATAAAAAAAAAAAAAAAATCTAAAATGTGAAATAAAGTAGTTAGGGTGGCGAGGCAAACCTAGCAACTTGACAACTATATATCACCGTATGGAACCTAGGAATCACTCTATGACACCTGGGCCCCAAAAGGTACATGTAACAGTACTTAATTTTGCTTTCAATATCAACCAAGCAAATACAGTACAATTAATGTTAAAGTTAGTTTTGGGAAAGGACTTCCCTGGTTTAGATGCAATGGCCAGGATCGCAAGCCTTTTAAGACCCACTCCAGAAGGAAGAGGGGCAATTAATGAACTTTGAAATGACATGATAATTGGTTCTTTTTTTTATATCTGTAACATGATCAAAAAGACTTGTTATTAAAGAAATCTTGAACCCATGCACCCAAATGTGATTGTGATTCAAATGCAGAGGCCAAAGGAAAAGCTTAAAGCTGACAGGATATGATCAGGCAATTGTAGCAACAAAAACAAAAACAGGAGCATCAACCTCATGACTGAATCCTGGGCTCAGGAATCCTCCCAAGTATCTGGTCTTTCAACGCCATCCCTATCTAGTAGATCAGCAGTGTCATTGGCTGATCTAGGAATCCACCTAAACAAGCAGTTCATCCGAGATTACAATGCCTTAACCTCTCTAAGAACTTGCCTGAGCATCAGACATGTTTTTTTGGTTAATATTCCAGACCAGTTTTCCACTTTTACTCAGTCCTTCTACCCTCCAGCCCCTTACAAAATCCTCTACTGACACTGGGCAACACTATGCACTTTGGTGAATGGAACTTTGATGAACTTCTTCCCAACCTTAGGTGGGATTAGACAAGGAGATCCCCTATCTCCTATTCTTTTCACTCTGATTGTTGAAGTCCTCGGAATGCTTATTGCTAGGGCAGACTCACATAAGTTGTTGAGGGGCTAGAAGGTTGGTTGTGGCAGTGTTCCAATTACACATTTGCAATTTGCAGATGATACTTTTTTTTTGTGGAGGAAATAGAAACTGGGTTAGGAATCTCAATTCTCAAGTTGACAGTACAACTTTTTGAGCTGATTTCCAATCTCAAGGTGAACTTTGACAAAAGCTGTATTGTGGGTATTAATATGGAAGAGGGGAAATGCTGGAGTATGCAAATATTTTGGGATGTGAGGTGTCACAATGGCCGCTGAAGTATTTAGGACTTCCTTTGGGGGACAATTCAAAAAAGAGCAGCATACTTTGAACCAGCCTACTAAACAGTATTTCTTCTCCTCTTTCCAACCTCTCCATATAAAATCCCTCATTTTCTTTTCAATGAGAACTGTCATTCCCGTAAGTATTAGGTACATTGAGAGAAGATGTATGGGAAGGGAAGACAACACACTTTTCACCAAAGTATTCTTGCCTCCATAGGAGAGATACTTGGCTTTCTAAGAAGCCAGCCTTTTATCAATTCTTTCTACAATTGGCTCCCAATTTGTTTTGGAATTACACCTTTGCACCCGAAGGCATTCCCAGGTATTTCAAGGGTAGCATTCCCACTCTACACCTCCACACTTCTGTCCATTGGACAAGCTCCTGCACCTTCCCCACAGCCACCAGCTCATTTTTATGCATATTCACTTGCAACCCTGATACAACTTCAAACCATCTAAGCACAGCCACTAGATATTACAGTTGCTCCTGAGATGCATCACGGAATAAGATATATCATCAGCACATTGCAATAAAGCTACATCCATCCTCCCATTTCCCACTGCAAATACTTCTATGAAATCTTCTGTATTAGCCATTTTCACCATTCTGCTTGAAGCTTCCATTACACATATGAATATGAAAGGGAATAGTGGATCCCCTTGTCTTATTCCTCTCAAAATCTTGAAGCTCCCACAGGCTGTTCCATTCACCAGTATTGAGAAAGAGGGGGTAGTAACACACACCTTCATCTAATTCCTCCATCTAGAACCAAAGATCATCTTTCTAAAGCACATAGCCCAAGAAGCTCCAGTTCATGTGATCATACACCTTTTCCAAATCCACCTTACATGGTAAACCAGCCCTTCCATTTCTCAGTATTAAGTCAATTAGTTCTATACCCAGAACCAGCCCAATTAATTTTAGGATTCAGGACCTGTAATGCAGAACCAGACCCTATTTAATAGGGTCAGTTTGGTCAGTTCTGCCTCCACCCAACCCATTAATAGCCCTACCATTCCCATCTCCAGCCCATTCTTATCGACCGCCAATCTTCCCAAGCTGTTTGCACAACTAGGTATCCCAGCTGAACAAGCAGTTCGGGTTGGTAGATAATGCCAAAACTTCTCAAATTTGATCACAAAGGTCATTCCACCTTTGATAGCATCCAACTAATTACCACTTGACAATCTCCTTCAACAACCAAGCCACTTCACTCCTTTTCCTTTGCAAATCTAAGTCCATAAAGAACAGCTTAGAGTTCAGCACTTAAATAATTCCCAACCCCTTGCCAGACTTGAATAGTTAAACAATATACCATTGCAGTGCTCTCTAAAAGCTCTCCCCAAGGGCCCCAACCCAGATTGGCCTGGATTCCCTAGAGAATTGCCATCAAAATTTAATTAAATCTGCCCTTGGTCAGGTGTTATCCATGCCATGGAGCTGGCCACACTCTGAGCATAAAAGGTGGCCAACATATGCCATCCTCTTAGGAGTTGACCGTGGTTCCTTTAAACTCTTTTTTTTTTGCCTTTATCAAATGTGCCACCCTTTTGTTATGGATAACTTGAAAGTTTATTGAAAGTGAATAAAAGATAGGGTATTAAGGAAGTACCTTGCACCCCAATTACTGAAATGACCCATGCCCCCCTACAATCCAATTTTTTTTTTTAAAAAAAAAAGGGTAACGATTTTGTTCTGCATTTACCATCCCCCAATTAATGATATGTGCCACCCTTGTTAGACAAAGGTCTATTATATTTTCTGCACTTTGTCTTCTGTTTTCAAGAATTCTTGAATGTCTTTCACCCTAAACACTCCATAGCATCACCGCTCTTATATAATGTCATAAAGCCTTCCCCCTTTTTGTGTGTGTGAGATTATAGTGACTTGTAGACAACTCTAGCTTCTCCAAAAGGGTTGGCCATGCAACACCCAACAGATTGCAAAGTAGCTCTGCCTTGATGGTAAAAGGACACTAGAGAAAGAAGTGGTTTGCACTCTCTCCAATCCTTAGACAAAGGAGGCACACATGAGGTGATATGCACCAATTTATCCTTTTTCTTTGATGCACATTTCCCATGTTGATAATTTTCGAAGGTGGCTATAATAGCTGGGAAAGGGGGTATAGATAGGGGGATCATTAGGGACATGAAGAAAGAAAAACAAGAATTAACCCAGAATAATGGGGATCCAAACTCTTCAGTCATCACCTTGGGGATTAAGAAAAATAGGGCTAAGTACATTTAAAAGAGTAAGGACCACCATACCTTCACGATCTCTGGGTCCTCTCCTAAAGCCCATATCCCATGAGATGCCTAAATCATAAAGGAATGTTAATAAGGACGCAAGTATATTTTAACACACGGTTATGGACTGTGGAGTACAAGTCTAGGGAAATGAGTGGATAAGGGGTTCATTACCCACCCAAGACTCCTTCCATATCTGGTCTTGTTTCCTAGAGAAACTGAAGACAATATTTCCAAGGGCCAGGGTTTTCAATGGAACATCGATCGATTTGGCATTGTAAGTTCTAAATAATCCCTTTATCTAATCAAAAGATTTAAAACTTTCACCACAGACATATAATGCCAGAAGATAAATGAAATGAGCTCAGGACGCATTGGGTATATCAGATACCGTAGAGAGGATAAAAGTTGTCAAGGCAAGCAGCCATCTAGGAAATTGATCTTACCTTTATTTAGTTAGCTGCTTAAAATCCTCCTATGTTCACCTCAGTTCATCTCAAGCGTAATTGAATAGTAAATACGATCCAAATATACAAATCCAGACACCTTGGCAAACTCTAGATTTTAAACTAGAACTCCAAGCCATGGCTAATGAATCATAATTATTTAAACTCTGAATATCAATAGCTTCACATCTGACCACCTCTCACATGCTAAAGTTCTTTTGTTTTATTTTATTTATTTATTTGGGGGGAGGGGGGCGCAGTAACTCATATGTTTTGTGATCTCTTTGTCTGCGCAAATTTCTTGCCCAAGAATTTTCTCCCTGCTCCCTTAAACCCCAGAAACTCGACGACATCGAATCAAGTTAAACATGTTAGTCATAAAGTGATCTCAGGTAAGTGTTCCTACCATTAATTAACTTATCAGGCAAAGGAAGAAGATTGAAGAGATAGACATTGAGATCGAAGATCCAGTTCAACTCTTTAATCAAGAGATGAAAAACAATTCGAGAAGGTCCGCAGCTTACCTTAGAAGTACCACGATAGTGAGTCCATGAACCCCAAGCAGAAGAATATGGCTCTCCGATGTTGTACGGTAGATCCTTTATCCCCGCCCCAGATCCAGCAACCACGCCCTTCAAGAATTTGAACATTTTCACGAACAAGCAGACGATCTCTCAGAGAGAGAGGGAGGGAGGGGGAGAGAGAGATGCTTGTTCGATCTGTTACCGAGTGGTGCAAGCCTGGAAGGCAGGGCCAATATGGGGAGAAAAATAAATGATTGGGCTCAATTTGGGTATTTTGCGAGGTAAACGATTAAAGTGACTCTCGAGGATTAGGGATGCAAACGGATCAATCGGACCGGATTCGAATCTCTCGAGGTTATTCGAATCCTATCGGATCTTATTTGATCCAACTTGTTTTTTTTTTTAAATAAATTATTAAAAGAAAAATAAAATATACCAATTTAAATAAAAAACAAAAATACAAGTATTTTTTAATTATTTTAATCATATATATACATACTTTTTATAAAAAATAAATAATATATCAAATTTACAAAAATACAATATAAATAATGTATATATATATATATATATAAAACACATCGGATCGGATAGGGGTGATCTGAATCCAATATGATCCAACCATGGGTGAATTCGACCGAATAGGATCGAATCAGATCTAGAGGTGTAAAATGGGTCATGTTGGGTCATCTTGGGCCATGTCGCCCTCCCTATGGATAATTTGGGGGGTCGGCCTGGCATAGCCCATGGCCCAAGCCTGTGTAGGCCCGTGTCGTGCCATGGCCTGGGTTGGGCCTTGGGTGTGGGCTGAAGTGGGCTAGACTACTTTTTTACATTTTTGGTTTTTTTTATTTATTTGCCAAGTAAAACTAAAATATTTTACTTTCCTTTGAGAACTATTTGAAAAAATAAGAAATCTAACAAAAAACGAAAAAAAAAATATTTAACCAAATAAAAAGTCAAAGAGACAAAGACTCCAAGTGAATATCAAATTGGAAGAAAAATAGGAATTATATTTCATTTAAATTTGAATGATACAAAGCATACAATGGTTGGATGAATGAAACATGAAAATTGGGAAATGAAATAAATTAATAAAATATAAAAAACAATATAGTTACAAATTGAAAATAAAAAAATTATGTTATTAAAAATATCAAATAAATTAAATAAAACTAAAACAAAATTTACGATAATTTAAAAAATAAAATGCTATACAACTATTGAGTATACAAAAAATATTGACTTCATCATTTTCACATATTGCTCTTGACTTTAATCATTTGCTTTAGGTGAAGCATCAGACACTGTTTTCAAAACCGGACCGGACCGGACGGTTGGCCCGAAAAAATTGGGAATCGGTCTCTGTTTTCATCCAAAACCACTTTTTCCCCTAAAACCGTTGATTTTGGTCAGCAAACCGTTGAATCGGTCGGTTAACCGTTCGAACGGTTTTGACCATTTTCCTTTTTTTTTGTCAGAACGGGCCAACCGTTCGGGTCAAATGGTCAGACCGCTCAAACCGGTAACTAGACCCCTGACCAGTTCGGTCACCGATTCATTTTTAAAAACCATGGCATCAGGTGTAGTGTTATGCCCTCCTTTGTCTTGTAATCTATTTTCAACATCTAGCCAATCTTTAAAGAAGATGCACATCTCTAGACTTTCATCATTCATATAACTATTCTTGTCATCCAACACCTTAATACCTGCACTAAAATAAGACTCCGATGGAACTGTAGACATTGGAGGGTGATGGAGGATGACTTGACCCGACCCCTCGAGACAATGACACTTGGACCTAACTCAACACGAGCGACAGCTCAGCACCGCAGCCCGACTACAACTAAGTAACGAGCCTACAGGACAACTCGCTATGTCATACCTCGCTATAGGGGGAGCTCACTACAACGCGAGCTCGAGGTTCCCCCGAGCTACTGAAAGGGAATACTCCAAGACAAGTCTATCCCAGCTCGCGAGCTAGGATAACCAGCTCACTCCCACTTAGGCAGAAAAACTGCCCCAAAGACAACCTAGAGAAGGGTCACCTCGAAGTACCCACGGGAGCTCGCTACGAAGTCGCTCGCGACAAGATAGCTCGCTACGCGACAGGATAGCTCGCGACTAAGCGACGCGATGCTTTCAGGAAGCTTCTATCTGACAAGACCGTACCCATCAGACTGCGCCACGTCTCCTGACTGACGGCGCAGTCCCTGCCCATTCGACAGACTGTACCCATGTCTCTCGACAGATGGTGGCGTGCCTGTCCTCCCAGGACGTGTCACCCATCCCATTGGGTAGTACCCTGCAACGGTCACCTGCGCAGCCCTGGCAGGCAACGGCTGCGATAGAAGCCCAGTGGCGGTTACGCCCGATTTGACAAGAACGCCTATATAAGAGCTCCCTAGTTAAAGGGAAAGCTCTCCCTCGAACATCAGAAATCTCATCTAAAAACTTACTTGCTCTCGAGCTAATCTCGAGAACTTAGTGATCCAGCGCGACCTACACTCTTAGCCTCTTTACACTCTTTGCTTTCTCCCCCAGCGTTCTAACTTAAGCTTCGGAGTATTCCCGCCAAGCAAATCCCCCGGGAACCCTTCATCTTCTTCCTCTCAGGTGTCGTCCGTTGCCAGCTAGGAGCTAGTCAGCAGCTAGCTAGGAGTGTCCGGATCGTGCCGCATCATTTGGCGTCGTCTGTGGGAAACGCTTCTAAAAGCCTTCCTCTAAGCTTTTACAATTTCTTTTTCCAAAAACTCAGCATTCATGGCTTCTTTCAGTAACGTCAGACGTGGTGCCAGCCAGAACGCTTTTGGGGAGCAGCCCCAGCTTCCTACTGTCTGTATTGGACAGTTCACCGTCCCCCTCTCAGTGGACGGAGTCCCCAGTTTGAACGTGCCTCTTACGGTGGCACTCGCGGTCGCTCCACTCCCTTCCACAGTTGAAGCAACCTTTGTTGAACCCTCGATTGTATCCCCAACGGCCAACCCGAACCAGTTGGAGGACTTAATGCAATGCATACGAGCCATGCAGGCTCAAATGCAACAATTTCAACAATTCCAACTCTACCAACAACAAGTGTTGCACTAGGTTTCCCAATACCAGTATTAGCAGCAGCTTCCTTCTTTGCCTCAGGCCCAGCCGTCGCTTCCCCCTCGGCAT